GATGGCCGATGAGATCGTGAAACTATGTACAGAAGACAGAGGGAGGGAGTTGAATGATCGATGCCTAGATTGTGGACAGGATTTGAAGGATGTAATACGAGAGGCTGACCAGGGGCCAAGAGTTAGATCGTGAGGATGAGGTTGGATATTTCAAAGATTGGACAACTGTGAGCAGCATTACCACCCTTGGAGAAGTTTGGAGGACGTGATGATTTTACGCCATGAGTTACGAAAGCTTTCTCAAAGTCGTGAGTTCGGAGCATCCTCAAGCAAGATTGTTTCCATCTTTTCTTCCCACTTCCTTACCAACGCCTCGTCATATGCATTTCCGTCATAGCTCACGGCAAACGAGACCCGATCATGCCCCAGCGTCGAGCCTCCCACCAAAAATTCCCGTTCACGAACTCTTATTCCCATATCGACATCCATCCACGCCGCTTCGAATTCACTTTGCTCCTCACCATTACCACCAACTACCCCATCCTTCCTTTTCCCTTCCTCCTCTACTTTCGCATCCATCGGCCCCCTCATCAACGCCTCCACAGCCCCAACCCAACTAACCCCACACGTCGCCCCAGTCGGATTCCCCCTCGCCGGATACCCCCCCTGCACCACCCATCCCATACGCTCCTCCTCCCCCAACAACATCTCACTCCGCTCCGCCGTCATCAAATACAAATCCTGCAGCAGTTCCCTCGCTCCCGCCGCCGCCCTCGCCCCGTCCTTACTCCTCCTCACCTCCCTCCTCTGATAACGCCTCAACTGCGCCTGCGCCCTCCTCGCCAGCACGCGCATCCTCAGCCCCACCGGCGCCTCCAGCGGCAAAAACGGCAACACCAACCCCGACGAAAAGCCCAGCATCAGACTGTCGGCGGGCGCTGCTGACGCCGACGACAGAAACGCGCGCGGGTTCAGCGGGAACGACGCGATGAAGCTGGGGCGTGCTTCTTCGTCGTCGCAGCGCGGATGCAGCGACGCGTGCAGCGTCTGCATGACGAGCCCGACGAGGGCGAAGGCGGTGGCGCCGAGGGAGACGCCGGCGGAGAGCGCGATGGCGTGGAAGCGGCGCGATGCTGCTGGGGAGAGCACGGCGTGCGCGCGGTGCGTGTTCAGTGGTGGGGTGGGGTGGTAGTTCAGGATCGAGGGGTAGCTGGGGGGCATGGGACGGGCGTGGCCGGGGGGTAGGGGGTGGGTTCGTGTGAGCGGGTTGGGGAAGGCGGGGGGGAGGGGTCGGCGGATGTGTCGGAGGATGCGCAGGAGGAGCCAGGACCAGCGTTGGTGGGCGGGCGTGCCGGGGATGGGGGGGTAGAGATCTTCTTGTGCTGGGGGGAGGGGTGGGAGAGAGGTTTTTGGTGGGTTCGGGGAGGAGAGGCTGGAGAGAGTGGTGAGGAGGGTGAGGAGGGTGGATTGAGATTGGTTAAGGAGGTGGTTGAAATGTGGGAGCCAGTTGTACATGGTGAGGCCGTCAGTGATCTGGTGGGCGAAGATGAATACGAGCGGGAGCTGGAATGTGCCATCGGAAAGTTTGATGAGGGGGAGTACGAAAAGTTTTGAGAGCGATTTTGACGGATCGATGGCTCGGCCTGTGTTCTCGACATGCTTTAGGAAGTCCGCTGGATCCACTTGCGCGTGGAAGTCCTCTACGAAGGTAAGTGTGGCAGAGGAGTCCTCGAGGTTCTCTTTAGAACTTTTACCCAGAGGTCTGATGACAAAATATCTTTGGTGGCCTTCTTTTCCCGTTTCATCAATGATGGGTCCAGATGGAAGTTTGTCGGCAATTGCTCTTGTCAATGGATGATGAGCGCGGAAGTTTGCCCAAGCCAATCGTATTCTTTTTCGCAATTGCTCTCGAGTCTCTCGGCCTTTTATCTTGAGCTTGAGTACGCCATGGACATCAGCTCGTCCCTCGAATCTTCTGCCATCACAATCGAACATCGTTTCCACGAGACCGAGAGGCCTGCCGGACAGGCTATCGCCATTTCGGCCATAGGTTTTCCATTCATGATAGCCAGAATGATATCTCTCAAGCCAATGGCTTCCGTTTTCAGTATGCATAGCTCAGGAATGAACAAACGAGAGATTTAGCAACGGCTTGGTCAATGCGTAATCATATTGATAGAACCCATAATAAGTCTGGAAAGAAACATATTCAAGACGAGAAAATCCTTCTTCTAAATGACTGGGTTCCCATGACGCACTTTGCGCATCTTGTCATTCACTAGCCAGGGATCTCCACCTACCGGTACCTCGGTGAATAGTTACTTATGGGATTCATGAAGTACTTAAATATCTAAATTAATACAAGAACTTATACGGAGTAGCGCCCATGGAGATTAGGTTTGGCATTCATTTGTTCCAACAGGTGTGGTTTGGAGTCAGCCCCGGCAAGACAGTGGATGCCTTAAGAACCCGACACCTCTTACGCACTGTCCTTGTCAAAATAGCTCGCGAAACCCTGTCCGAATCAATTTGAGCATTTAATTGGTTGTTTGAAAACATTTGAAGACATCACGCAGGAAAACAAGAATGTCCATAGAACAACTCAATCATCGAAATAGATAGCGTCGGGCTTGTGCACACAAATCTTGCCCGAGGAGCTGCTCTTCAGAACAATCCTTGGATCGTCTTTCTTGGCCTTGACCTGCTTACCATCCACCTCTTTCTGATCATATAAGACTTCAACTACCTCACCATCCACGTATCCCGGCAATGACTTCCAGACAACCTTCTGGCCCTTTCCAGGGAGCCTGTCTTTGGATCCAGCCGGTGCAGGTGCGTCTGCCGGATCATGCTTCGACCCCACGGTCCCATTCTGTTTACCCTTGCCCGAGTTGTCTTTTTGCTTTTTATTAGAACCCCCACTCTGCTTTCCTCTTCCACGCTTCTGACCCCGAGGTTCCTTTTCGCCTTCGTCAGCCACCTCGGCGTCATCCTCATCCTCATCATCCTCCCCTTGGACTTCTTCCTCGTCAACATCTTCGTCATCATCGTCATCAACCTCATCTTCATTGAACTCCCCGTCTTGCGCTTCGTCATAATCGTAGCCCTCCTCTTCAGCGGCTTCAGCGTCGTCATCGGCTTCATCTTCTTGCTCATCGTTGTCGGCAGCTTGGCCTTTCTTACTTTTGGCTCCGCCAGATTGCTTCTGCTTGCGGCCCTCAAAGTTCTCCGACTCCTCCTTGTTCGCATTCTCACGGGCATTCTTTGCTTTTTGCGTATTACTCACAAACTGCTTGCCCTCTTTGCTTTCTTCCTGTTTCTTGTCGTCTGTAGCCTGCTTCTCCTCCTCGGACCTGGGAAAGTGCTATTAGCATCTATAGGATCAAGCTTGGAGGAGTTACACAACGAACATTTGCTCCCAGGCCTTCTTGGGAAGATATCGCTTCTCGGTCCCATCCTCCTTCTTCGCGTTGCCGCTGCCCTCTTTCGTCTGCCATTCCTCCTCTCCCCATTTAGACAAGTTTTTCTGTGACTCGTCCTGACCTTGATCTTTGTCGGTGGTGTATCCACCGCCGCGCTTCTTGTATTCTGAAGCCATCATTTGCGCCTAATTGGGTGATTAGAGTCAAACGCGTGCTGCATGCGATCTCGCGTAGAGCATACCTTTCTTGCCGACCATTGGCCTGGCGCTCCGCCTTTGTCGGACTCATGGATCTCTTCTTTCACTTCATCGCGCAATTTGGGGTCAGTGTATTTGTCTTTGGGTGGCATTTTGGTGACGAGATGATTAAAGTTGAAATGCTTCACGAAGGCTGTAGAGAGGGTCTATTCAATCACAGGATCGATTGTTGCAGTAAGGAGTTCAGCAGATGGATCAATGCAATGGAAGTGAAAATGAGAATTGGGATTGAAGAACTTGAGCCTCATGCCCCTACTTAAACCCTCTCTCCCAGCCTTGCACGCAGCCTAGCGGCAATCTTAAAGGAGGCTCGCCTATGAGCCATTCCATCATTGACTTCACCATCGTGGTTAGCACAGATAACAGGCCGGACGTGACATCAGTCAAGCCAAAGGACAAGGATTCCGCAGATCGGGATGGTAAGCTTGCCCCCTGGTTGCCGTGGCGCCCTGGATCTGGGGAAAGCTGTCGGAACCTAGACTGCTTCCGGCTTGATGCGATCGCGCAAAGTCGATTCGACTTTCCGATGCTGCGGTTCCTTGCATGATCGCATTTCAAACCAGAGGGGAGGTAGAGCGTCTAAGAGTTACTCCTTTTCCCTTCTTTTCATCATATGTAGATAAAGCAAAAGTATGATCGGACCACAGTTTTTAACAGTTTATAGAGCAGAATCGATAGCGGCGACTCAATCCTGGCCGGGGACGGTGTACTGATTCTCGATAAACTCCAGATGCGAATCCCTTTACATAGTATCAAAACTATCATTTACTGATCTTCGCCTGCAGCAAAAGCAGGAATACTAGTATTGCGATAAGATAGGCAAGGCAATGCCAGATTGTATAAAAAACTTAGTCCACAATCTGAGAGTTGTAATCTTGCCCTTAGTATGCCAATTCGAATTTACTATACCGCTTTACTAAGAGGCAAACGGAAGACACCTATGAAACGGTGAACGGTGACAATGAGGATCAATATATTGTGATAACATCTATACGTTCCTCAGTAAAGGTAGTAGGAATCCAAAAAGGAAGCACAGTAAATTGCTTGTTTCCCAGCTTTCGTAGCAATAATTTTCCCACTTTCAATTGGATCATTTGTTGTACTATAAGCGTTCATAGCTAATTTTCGGAGCGGCAACAAATAAAGAGCCAAAATTTCTGCAATAGTGGTTAAGCACCATTTCTATTCTTGTGCGTGGCAATTACGTCCCTGTGAAAAATTTGGTTCCTCGGCCCATCGCGAAACCAATCTTAGAAAACTCAATCGTGCATTCCACTCTAGGCTTTCGGTCAAGCATAGTGCTCCTAATCAGTTTGCTCCTCAGTCGTGCGCATCATCACAGAATTGGGAGGATATGATGGAAAAAGACAAAAAAAAATATTGCATCAGCCGTGAATCGAACACGGGGCCCGTCGATGGCAACGACGGCTATGCGCTGATTAGTCCACGTACTTCCTTCACTCATTTGGGCTAGCTTACATTTTACCACTAAACCACTGATGCTCATGGTTTAGTGGTAAAATTAAATCTTAACAATATATCATTTTGGAATCGTATTTTACCATCCAACATTTTTTGTATATTCGTCTTCTGCAATTGCTTGGAGTCGCGTAGAGTCTACGGGAGCATGTATGTGGATGGATATCACTCGACAAGTTCTCTCTTTTGCGCTTGTACTTCTGCGCTTTGGCGAGGTTAGAGTAAAGGGTTGAAGTTGACCAACCGCAACCTTAGAGATCCATCTTTCCCACCTTGCCCAACTGTACCTGAGAAAGCTTGCGACAATGAACCTGAATAGTCTGGATGCTCAATCCAACGCACACCCACTGTCCACCGACACCATAATGCCGAAATCAGAAGTTTTCATTATAGTACCGCAGACTTGAGACGGAGAGAGATTTATAACTAACGGGCAGTGCTAGTTGTCGACCCTGAAGCCTACCTTTCGTCCTCTTCTTCATTGGGTAAAATTTCTAGGTTCTATTGGCTCGTCCGTGGTAGAGTAAATTCTTGCCCGAATTGGTATAGACCACCTCAGAGGCTTCATCTCCTTTATTTCGAGGTCATTGAATAGTTAGCTGTAGCTATCTAGAACAACAGAGTTTTTCGCCCTGATGTAGCTGCCGCTGCAATTCGATACTAGTGATCTGAAGGTGAGCATCACATTTACACTCCCACGAGCAGGTCAGTGTGTTTTTATTATCGTGAACCGTAGACAATCGTTTACCCAAGTTTACTTGTGCAACGCCCGCAACAAAATCAGAGGATCAGCTCATCATCAAGACCGAACGCTCAGGTGCCTGGGTTTGAAATTTCTAGCGAGTCGGATTTGCCTGAATCTCCAGCAGAAAATTCGTGAGTTGGGTCGAAGAGACCGCTAATTGGCGTATAGTAACCCCCAAGCATTGGTAAATTATTTCTCCTAAATGCAGGCTTGAATTTTCGCGTTGTGTTTGTCCTGGGGGAAACGAGGGACATGGGCACGTGACTATCCTAGGGCAATTGCTTCACTTTCACCACTCTGTATCTAGGTACATAACTTCCTCTAAACCTCAGATGATATGAACACTTCGTGACCATACTTTTGTCTCGCTTCGTGCCCGTCAACATTTCAAGCCCGTCAACAGAGTTACGACTACTTGGTCAACTGTGTTTCAACAGCTGTAGGTGAATGGCCCATGACGTGCACATCACAGATCTATCTATTGTCCTGTGAGGCAGGGGTCGGAAGAACTGATGAATAACAACCTTAATGGATAACAATGAATAGAACAATACAGCACCTGAATACGCATTTTGAGGTATCAACAATATCAGATTTTCTAACTCTAATATTCATGAACTAGAATGCGTGTTTAGGTGTTGTATTGTTCTATTCATTGTTATTCAGTCCAATGATACTGCTGGTACAGAGTTAAGACCAGGCGAACGCGGAAAAGTCAGAGGCAATCTTCTATACTGCAACTACAGCGTCCAGAACAATATCTCTTTGTCTGTATTTGTACTCCTAAATATACTGCAAGCGGCCACAAACTCTTGTGCTGGATGATCCGCTTTGTTTACACTCCCTTGACTTTCCTTCTATCATAAACTACCCAATAGATTTCGTTTGCTACTTTCTCAACAATCTCTTCCAGCTTGGATCTCTCTGTTTACCTTCAAGAAAATCCTACAGCCTCTCCATTCCCATCCTGGATAAAGGCTCCATCGGCCTTCCCGTCATTACCCTGAAATTCAATCAATTCCTCAAAAGCGACACCTCTGAAATCGGACGCACGCGTCGACGGATTTCAGAGTCCAGCTCCTGCGCCATCATCTTCGCCCACCAACACGACAACGACACCTCGACAGCGCCGTTAAGGAGAGAAGAAAGGCTGAGACATCATGCCGTACACAACGAGGAGCAATCGGGTGGTGAGGCCGCCGGCGCGGCTCATTGACGAGCTGTCAGCCTCCGCAGCTGCGCCGCGGACGACTTCTAGGAGGAATACTGCAACAAGACAGAACCGCGCTACCCGTCCGGCTGAGAGGACGAGTAGATCTGCGCGCTCAACGGCGACAAGATCGGCGAGGACACCAGCCAGGACGCAAGCTAGGGCGCCAGCCAGAACGCAAGCCAGGGCGCCAGCCAAGAGAGCAACGAAGACGGCGGGGTCGAGGCCAGCCAAAGTTCAGGAGACGAAAAGCGCAAGAACGGGAGGAAGGAAAGGAACTCGCCAGAAAAAGAGCGGGACTGGTGAGTGTGGCTATCTTTCATCAAGTGACCAAGTGACTTTTCAGGTGATTAACTCTCTTCAGGTACATCCGGCGGTGACCAGAGCATTTTTGAAGGGGAGGGGAGGGCGAGAAGAAGTAGGTTGATCCATTGGAATGATGTTGTCTATGAGTGCTAGTGCTGACTGCAATATTCACGTACAGGTCCGGCACCGTCACCATAATGATGAGACATGCGAATAAAGTGTCCGCTCGCTGGCGAGGGAACATTGCTGGGGGTTGCCCGGACACTATGGTCCTAGTACTGCAGAATCGGTCTCAAGCGTCGGTACCGGTTTAAAGACAAGAAACGGCAGGAAATTCAGTAAAGTCCCACTCAAAGATATAAAAGGGTATCATTTTTCCGATCCGTAGTACTTATAAAGTCAGTTCAATTTCAAGCCGCAAAAGTCCCACTTGCGTCTGCAGGCCTCCGCGAGAGGCTAGCGGTGTAATGGAGGAGGACCTCAGTCCTTCAGCATTCGCTGTAACAATTTCGTGACGGTTTCCCCAAGTCATCAGTCAGGCTTTGACTTGTAGGAACTATCGGGCTGATTTCTTAGAGTACCCGCCCTCTCAAATGCCTTCGCAATCATCTCGCGCCCACAGCTTGACCGTACGATCATAGCCACTGCTCAGAACCCATCGAGCATCATCCGTGACATCGGTGGAGAAGACGTTGCCTGAATGGCCACCAAGAGACTTGCATAGCGCCCAATCATCCGCCGAGAATATATTGATTTTCTTGTCCAACCCACTTGAAATGAAGAAGGTGCCTGACTTCTTGGGAACGATCTCAGATTGGGAATCGGGAGCCTTGTCTGTGCATTGCTCGTTATCGGCTCCATTGGTCTCACCGTCATCATGTATAGTCATTTTGGACGTTGGTGACGACGTGCTCCCCTTGAACCACCTTAAATCTGTCACACCGCCTTTGTTTGCACCAATGCTCGCGGTCTCTCTCACAGCTCTGACATCCCAGCACTTTACGAATCCATCCGTGGATCCTGTGAGCACACGGTAACAGTCCGGACCCCAGTCCAGACCAGCTATCTCTTTAATATGGCCTTCCAATATCATGACGTTACGACCGGTTCTGAGGTCCCATATACGACCAATGCTGTCAAGGCCAGCGGATGCCAGTAAAGATCCATCTGGGTTGAAAGATACTGTATGGACCCCCAAGCTGTGGCCTTCTTGAAGCAAGAGCTCAGTGGTAGTGGCAACGTCCCACAGTCGCCATGTAGTATCATGACTAGCACTTGCAAGATAGCGACCAGATGGATGGAACTCTACTCGCGCGACCCGACCACTGTGACCTGATAGAGTAGACAAAGGTGTCTCTCCATCAAGAGACCAGAGATGGACTTCATTATCGCCTTCACCGCCGCCGGATGCGAGGTTGACGGCAGAAGAGGAAACGGTACTGGATGGAAGGGTGGCACGTGGGAACCAAGCAATTCCACCAACTCGACCAGTATGACCACGCAGTGTTTGTGTCTTATCAAGGTTGGGAACAGAAAGAAATTGAATGCCACCTCCGAAGTGTCCCGCTGCAACTATTTGTCCGGAAGGTGAGAAGCGCGCGATACTAATGGGACGTTCGGCAGCCACTTGCGAACCATATAATTCGAACCCTGTCAGCTTTTCTTTGATAGCTTTCCGATGATTGACATGTACGCGGAGGGGTATTGTGGACTCTTTTTTCTGTTGTACTATCCGGTCGCGTGCTCGAGGTAATGAATATCGTGAGATGTCTTTACGAATGCTAAGTAGCTCTGGAGACCCCTCGGTATAAAACTCTTCGTTTGCCTCATTATCTTCTTCTTGCGCCGCAGCATCCTGCATGATTGCGTCTCCATCTTCATCACCGGCTGCTCGATCTGCAAGAAGCTCACGTAGCCTGTCGCGCCTATCTCCTGGTCCTTCGCCGAAGAGGGTAATCGGTTCTCCGAGCTCTCGTAACCGCGCTCTAACTCGACCATCGTCGGTGGGTACTGCGATCGTCTTCGCGAAGCGCTTCCGTTCGATCTGCTGTAAAATGGCAGAAGCCTTTTCAGGGGCTACACCCGAAATACCACCAGATATCTCATAGTCGCGGTCGATAGCTAAAGATATATTGTTAGTACCCAAAGAATACACAAGCACCAGAAGATCTGATTGACATACGAATGTTTGACAGATTGACACCCTCCGATTCCTAAAGTACCAGCCAAATCCATCAGTCATTTTTCAAGCTTTGCGCCCACCTCGAACTGCGCCTCTGGCGGACCTGCGAAGGGAATGGGTCCCTCTAGGTAGAGTTGAGAAACCAGATTTGCAACAGCAACCTCAGGAAGATTTTCAGCTTACCTCGGGTTCCGCTTCCTCCACATACGCTTGTCTAGATGGGTGCATCATCTTGCGACGGTTGTTGACGTTGAAACTATGGAGGTGAAGGAATCAGTCGTGCAAGTGACGTTGATTGAGCACGGACGCAGGCACCAGTTTCCCCGGGTGCTCCATAGAAATTTGGATCATGGAGCACCGGAAGAATCAACACTTCGTCCGCCGCGTAACATCATTCCAAGTCCCTGGTGAACCGTTTTCGTCGATCTCCGCGCATGAAGACCGTCAGCTGCTAGCTTAGGTAGCTTCCTGGATCTATCCCGTGGGACGTTTGTCGAGTACCCACCTTCCTGGTGGCTATCGCGGAAACGTCCAGACCCGCAAAGCATAGCAGCAGGGCTGTACCTTAGGTCTTACAGGCT